AACATCACTCAGACTTCCTGCAAACACCGCCACCATAAATCCTTTTCAAAATGGGATGGAACCACCTGGGCCCGGGCCTAGATTTGTGGGTCCCACACCGACACCGCCAACTGGGCTTAGGGTTTATCGGCCCCACAGACGCGAGTTGATGCTTGAGGCGACTGCAAGGCATCGTGGCTTTCCTCATCTCAGAGTTCTCCCTGAAGATGTATTCATGCAAAATTCTCTCTAGTAATTATATTATTACTTACTTATTTATGCAAGGAACTGGAGTTCATACCAGTTTATGAAGCCGTGTTCTAATTTGTTACCAAGTTTTATATCTGTCTATGCAACCATATAGGTAAATAATGCATAAAATGGTAGCAAACTGAAAACATGGCTCTGCATAAATTGGTAAAAAAGTAACTTCTTTGCGTAAATAAGTTTTTCGCCTTTATAAGAATAACCTTCATGCTCCGGTTTTAAATAATTCTCCCTCCATTTCAAAATAAATACAACAATTCTTTGGTTTTGTGAGATTTGGCCGGAATAGGAATTCAATTCCATTCTGGTCTTGTTCTTGGTTGCAATATGATTATGGAATTGAAGTTCAACATTCCATCCTCTAATTCACAGTATTTCCCTCGTTAAAAATAGGGTTTAGGTCATTTTTGGTCACTTAACTTTTGACTTTGTGCTCATTTAGTCACCTAACTTTTCGATTTGTGTACATTTAGTCACTAAACCGTTAAAATAAAGTTATAAAAATGAGCACAAAGCGAAAAGTTTGGGGACCTTTTAAAACTTAAAATGAGTTAAGTGACCAAATGAGCAGAAAGCCAAAAGTTAAGTGATAAAAAATGACCTAAACCCTTAAAAGTACTCAAGTACACTTTTGTCCCTAGAATTTCACAAGTCAATGACTCTTACCTCTCCTGGTTTACCTCATCTCTCATGAATTCCATTCCACTTGTGTTGCAAAATTCAATTTCCTTATATTCCATATCCATCAAATTCCAATTCCTCTTATAGATTCATTTTTTTTTTCCCAAAACATTCTTTGATCCAAACGCCCGGTTAGCATTATAAGATTGTAGTAAATAGTAAACCTTGGATCTAAATTCCAAGAAAAACAAAATCTTGGGTTTGTTACTTTGACTAATTCATGTGTTTTTGACATGTAGGGAGTTGCAATCCTTGATATTTCTGGTTACCATGAAGTAGGACATTCAGTTGATCATCACAGAGACATGCGCCTAGATATCGATCACATGTCATATGAGGCAAGTTGTTAAACAATCATTAACAATAATAAAAAAAAAAAAAGGTTCACATTTCCTTTTTTAACCCATTCGAAAGAACCACATTTACATCAATGAGATAAAGATTATAATTTTTCGTAATGGGATTACATACAAAGATATTGTCACGTGATTCTTGCAATATTTTTGTTTCTATTTAGGAACTTCTTGCACTTGGTGAACAAATTGGAAGCGTTGGGTCACGTTTATCGGATGATTTTGTTGTAGAACATCTAAAAACAAGAGTATTTACATCATCCAAATCTTGCAATGATCAAGAACTTAACTCTTGCGTAATTTGTCAGGTATTTCATATCATAAAATAGCAACTTGTTTGATAAGTAAAAAAAAAAAAAATGAAGGATTTGTGATTTGTGTGTTTATTACAGACAAATTATGATGATGGAGAAGAAATAGGGGTGGTAGATTGTGGGCATGAGTACCATGTGGAGTGTGTTAAAAAGTGGTTGGTGGTGAAGAACACATGCCCGGTTTGCAAATCAACAGCACTTGCTGGACAACCAAAGGAGTCGGTGTCATGAAAAGGAATCCAAGAGAAATGGAAAGGGAAACATGAGAGCTTGAAAAAGATTTGGGCATCGTGTTTTTCTTTTTATATATATAAAAATATATTATATATATAAGAGTAAAAATGAGAGAAAGAAAGGTGATGGTGTTGTTTCTCTTGTTATAAATTATGGTAAATATTGAAAACGTGGGTTGGTTGGTTGAACCTTTTTGTACAGACTTTTTTTCCTGTTGGTTCACTGGGTGTCTGTCGGTGGATTGGATGATGATGGATGATGTTGTTTGGGGTATGGATGTACTTATGAATGTTAATATCAGGTTGAACATTCTTCATTCAATCTCTTTTTACTTTTTTTGCTGGTTTTAATAATGCTAACTTCACTTTCCAAGTTTGTTTTGAAAAAAAAAAAAACAAGATATTATTTACATAACAACTTCAAAACAAGTTTTAAAGCTTCTCTTTTTTCTTCGTGCAGAGATATATATAGTTGAGTACTTTACATCAGAAACTCAAGCAAAAACTTTTTATTTTCCCATCTGGCTGGTTGTGTGTACAAAAACTTGGTTTACACGTACAATTGAAGTTTTATCTCTTGTAAAAGTCCTTGTATTTTGCCTCATGGGGAAAAAAAGAAAGAATTTAATAAATGTTCGTAGATTTGAGATTTTATAACAAAAGTCATTTTCTTACAAATAAAATTTGACCGTTTGACAAAAATTTAAGAATTTTTTTATTTTTATTTATTTATTATTATTTTTTTTGGGTTTCAATTTAGTTTTATTACTACTTCTATTTCATATTTATTGTCAATTTTTGATTTTTAAAATCTATATTTTTTAACTTTATTTTTAAATATTTTTGATTTTGATGTATAATACTCTATACAAAATGGATTGTGTTTTTAATGCTTTTCATTGTTATAAGTTTCATCAAGTAATATATAAAAAATAAAAAATAAAAAATAAACAATGAGACATAATGAGTATTTTATTATAATCATATTTTATTCTTTTTATCTAATCACAAATAATTTCATTGTAATTTTACTGGCTATTTAGATAACCTCAAAGTATTTTCATTAGTCTTAATTTATGTTCCATTTGTTATCTTATTATATTTTTACATTTTCTAAAAAAACATTATCATGTTATAATATAATTATATTATTTTTTCTAACATATGATATTATTATCTAACAAAAATATAATTATATTATCTTAGTAAAATTTTTTAAATAGGTGTTTTTTTGTAATTTTTATATTATTATTTATATTAAAATTTAGTAAGTCATTTAAAAATATAGTGAGACGATGTGTGTTTGGTACGTAGAACAATATAGTAAGACGATGAAATAAGATTATAGAAAATCATTTTAAAAAACCTTTAAATTTTGATATTATTTTTGAAAAAGATCGTATTTTGTTACCAACAGTCAATAAATATTTTACGGGATAATATCACTGAGGCTTAACAAACTTTGCTAGTTTGTTTTAAAAGGTTCCCAATGCTTTTTTTGGTAGTCTAACTTAAAGTTTGTTTTTACCTACTATTTTAAACCCTTAATCTATTATACAAGGTTATAATGCCACATGCACAATTTAGTACACTGGGATCCTATGTGTAAACTTAGTCAAGTTCACAATATGTTCACGATTTCTGCAAAACAAAGATTCGATGAAACGACCACATATGAGTAGTCAAACCACTAATTGTTGGAGGAGGCTGGGTTCACGATTTTTACTGAAACCACCATATTAGCTTCCTTCCACATAAAATAACTCCAAACACGAGCTCAAAAACCAGGGTCTCAAATCCAACAAAGTTACCACTTGGAAGAGACATTTAATCAAAAGGTTTGTGTGCAAAAAGTTTTCATCTTAAATGCGAATATAATTTCTTTACATTGTTCGCATGGGAACATGTAATGATCCGTTGACAAATTATAAGGATGGTCGACAAGCCTATATGATAAGGCAAACATTGTTAAATGTTCTTTGCTAAACTTAGGTGGGTGTTTTTTTGAAAACCACAAACGAATTAAGTGGAAGTCTACTCGTAATATTTCAACGAGAACCCATAGTTCGAGTTCCTTTACAGAGCAAACCAAATCTCATAGGGATTTTCAGGGTAAAATTCCCCACATGTGGTACCATAAGAGTTAGTTTAAGGGAATTGAACTCCCAATCTCACATCCCACATGGATATAAAACCCGATGCATCAACCCAGCTAGATTGGACATCACTTGCACTTAGGTGGGTGTTGATTTGACTTTTGAGAAGGAGAAAAAAAAATTGAATTGGTAAGCGTTTGCAGACGTTGTGAACCCAAAAAACCCTAAAGCCCTTAATGTGTGTGTGTGAAAAACATGAGTTCTTGAGTTTTAAAGAGGATCAGTGGTAGAAGGAGAAGACCGACATTGATGTGGCTATATTATTAATGACAAGCAAGGGTAAGTTCATTTTTCTTAAAAGAGTAAATTATACGAATGTATAGGGTAATTTTATATTTGGTTCCTAACTTAATTTTTTAATTCAGAAGGTCTCTATTGTTTGTTTATATTACGCGTTTGGTCTCTGTCTTATTTAAAATGATTATTTTATCATTGATTTTTTAATTTATTTAAACAAACACACCCCAACCCTACCCTCACCTTACCTTACTGCCTCGCATTTTTTTTTCTATTTAAATAATAGTATTTTTAGATAAGATAGAAACAAACACATAGCAAAAACAAATAGTTGGGACCAAACGCATAAAAAAACAAACAATAAGGACCTTGCTTAAATTACCCAAAACCATACGGACCATTCATGTAATTTACTCTTCTTAAAATGGTTTTTTTAAGATACAGACCATTCATGTAATTTACTCTTCTTAAAATGGTTTTTTTAACATGGGGAAATGGACTTTAATCCCTTAGACCACCAAAAAAAACATTAAAAAAACATTAAGGATCTTTTAAAACAAAAACACAGTGACATAGTTTGTACTTTGTAGGGCCTCAATGGCATTATCTTCTTTTTTATCGGCTAAAATCATAGACATTTGCAATTTCTTGTCCTCTTTGTTTGAAAAAAGTAAAAGTCACAACTTAATTCGTAAAATGAATTTATTACAATCAAAATTGGTAAAATTTTGCTGACAAACTGGATCATGATTGGGTAGAGTGGTAAGAAATATATTTTGTTGCATATTTTTGGTTAAAATGTGCGAGTTCATTACACAACCAACTATTAACCCTTTCACACTATGGAAGGATTCATTTTTAGACGCTCCACATCGTCAATACATCACATTTTTTAAGACGATTTTATAAGATCAAAGATTTTGATGCTCAAGAAACCATCAAAACAAACATCCCAAATTACTTCAATGGAATGTTAAAAACGAAAACTGTTATAAATCTTAAGAACAAGTATCCAAATATATAATACATGATCCGATCCATAGTAGTTAACAAATCAAGTAATACAAAAAAACCAGAAAATTTTGAAGCCTCGTCACTGAATTTCTTGTTAAAAGCTCAAAAACTAACCTGATATCAAACATATCACCAGAAACTTCAAAAATCTTGATCCTCATTCTCCCCCATTTTCATCAACTAGAACAGCAACCAACTTTCTTGACAGCAGAAACATCATCTTTTGATCCAACATTAATTGTTTGCCCTTTAGGCAAAGCCCCAGGATCATTCCCAATATCAAGTGCTTTTCGGCTTACCACATGATATATCTGTGTAAGAACTTCAGTGAAAGAATCCTCCACATTCATGGCCTCAAGAGCTGATGTCTCCATAAAATACGTGTTTTCTTTTTCTGCAAATGTCTTTGCATCTTCTGTGGAAACTGCACGCAAGTGACGCAAGTCTGCTTTGTTTCCTACTAACATTATCACAATGTTTGAGTCGCTGTGATCTCTGAGCTCTTTCAACCATCTTTCAACGTTTTCAAAGGTTACATGGCGTGTTGTGTCGTACACAATCAAAGCACCAACAGCTCCTCTGTAGTAAGCACTCGTGATTGCACGATACCTGTAGCCAGAAATCAGAAAATAGAAAGTGTAATTTGATTCTTACTATCTTCCCCCAATTGTGATTGTAAACCCTAAAAAACCCATAAGTTGAGACAAAACCTTCATCCGATTATCATTTCACTTAGTACGTGATTGAATCGGGTTCAATCGAAGCAAACATAGAAAAAAGAAGGAGAAGAAGAAAACGAACCTTTCTTGGCCAGCAGTATCCCAAATCTGAGCCTTGATGATCTTTTCATCAACGCGAATACTCCTGGTGGCGAATTCAACACCGATTGTTGATTTAGATTCAAGACTAAACTCGTTCCTAGTGAACCTGGAAAGCAGATTAGATTTTCCGACACCGGAGTCTCCGATGAGAACGACTTTGAAGAGATAATCGTAGTCATCGTCAGCTCTATACGCCGCCATCAGGTTTCAGTTAGTATGATTCGATGAGAGCTTCGGTTGAAGAATGAGTATATCAAGTAAACTACTTCAAAGTCTTCGATTCTTAAAAGACGATGAGCAACGAGCAGGGACGATTCATGTAGACGCAAAGAAGCGCCGACCCGTCTCGAAGCTGAAGAGATGTTGGGCTGGCAAGGAACTGTCAACGAGGGAACTAATTTGCTCTTTTATCTCTGAATTTCATTTTAAAAATATATGAGTAAAAAAGAAAGTATAAAATATATGTGGTTTTCAAAAATGTTGTCCCTACGAATGTATAAGGTCAAACTAACTATAAAATATAATATGGTTTTCAAAATTGTTGCCCCTATGATATCAGGTCAAACTTGGAAGGGGTGTTAACTTTCTTTCCCTGTTATACATGTGGTTAGGTTTTTATTGCATTTTTATTGTAATAATCGTCCCACTGTGTGCATATTAGTTTTGTATGTATATGCTCATCTTTAATTCTGGTCTTATTGAAAGTATGTACTTTTTCCCGTTTGTAACAATCACAATTATATTATTTTTACTTTGTGGATTGGTGTTTTACTTAAACCATAAGGTATGAGCAACTAGATGTAATATCATTTTGGTATCACATCACATGTCACATCATTAATGGTGTTATAAGGCTGTGGAGAGTGGTCTCAACCAAACCACCAGCCAACTCAGCATCACCTAAGTATTTTAGTATTTCACAACCAACCCACTAGGTTGTGGAAATGGTGTTCACGAGTGGGTTGGTGGTGAAGGAACAAAAAGAAGGAGAGAGAAGTAGAGAGAAAATGAAATTCACGTCTTTTGATTGGGTGTCTTCATGCGTCTTTAGCACCACTACAACCCACTCCACACTCAACCCACCAGCCTATGGGGCGGTGTTCACCATTGGGTTGGTGTGCCACGTAAATGCCACATAGGAAACTCACGCGTGAATACATTCCCACACCGGATAGCCTAACATTAACACCAAGTGGGGAAATGGACAACATGTTGTATCTTGTTATGACACCAACTTTTTTTCTATTTTATAATTTATTTTGATTTTTTTTTTAATTTAGACAAATATTTTTTAAATATAACATAATGTTTTAAAATTATAAATAGCAATTAAAAATTTTAAAGATTAAAATTAACATAAAGACTAAATTACACATAATATCCAAAAACAAAAAAAAAGAAATAACATCCAAATTAAAAAAAAAAAATACAACGCTATTTGTTATCGTTATTGTTACCAAAGAAGATATAATTCGCCAAGTCCTCTCGAAGTTGTTTGTGTTTATTTGCGTACTGGATGTCAACAACGCGATGCAAATAATCTGTTGTTCCTGGTTGAAACTGAACGTGTCTGGGCTCCGTTGGGATATAGTGTGCAATATTTTGCCCTTTATCTTCTACTACCATGTTATGCATTATGATACATGCATACATGATATATTGTAGAGTTTCTAAATCCAATGGCCGTGTTGCATGTTCGACTATATGCCACTTCGCCTTCAGCACTCCAAAAGCACGTTCCACATCCTTACGTGCTCCTTCTTGTATTCTCTTAAAAAATTTGTCTCGTTCTTCAAACGGGTGGCGGAATGCCTTCACGAATGTGGAATGCTGAGGATATATTCCATCTGTAAGGTAATACTCATATTTGTATTCGTTTCCATTCACCATGAAAGGAGCATCTGGTGCTATTCCATTCAAAAGATTGTCGAATATTGGCGACTGATCAAGAACGTTGACGTCGTTGTTGGAACCCGCAACCCCAAAAAATGCATGCCAAATCCATAAATCTTGAGAAGTGACAATCTCTAACACCAACGAAGGTGATCTGTGATGACCACTTGCGTATTGCCCTTTCCATGCTACCGGACAATTTTTCCATTTCCAGTGCGTGCAATAAATGCTTCCGATCATTCCAGGAAACCCATGGCGTTCTTCATGCGCCGCATACAATTCTTGCAAATCATGCAACGAAGGTTTTCGCAAGTACACGTCTCCAAAAGTTTCAACAACACCCCTTGACAATGTACAAACTCTCTCTTATGATTCTTTCGGACATTCTCATATAGTCGTCCATGGTATCTGGTGACTCCCCCATAGCCATCAAACGAATGGCCGCAACACATTTCTGCAATGTTGTAAACCCTCGTCTACCTCTATCATCATATCTTAATTGAAAAAATTTGTACTTAAACATAAATTAAATACAGTTTAAAAATATATTGCATATGTTGTAAAATTAAAGAAACATGTAGTACATTTTTATTTATTTTGTATAAAAGTATAGTAAACAAACGATACCGGCTTTCCAAGGCGTTGACGATTCGTAAGAACACTTCCCTACTCAAACGAGATCTTCTTTTGAAATCTTTCACCCCGTATACACAATTATCTGCAAAGTAATCGCGATATACATGTTCGTGTCATTCCTCGCGATTTCTGTTTAACATCGCACGTCTTGTTAGTAGCGGGGCTGGGGCTGGTTGTAGCAGGTCGGTAGTGTAATAATGATACATCATCCTAAAGAAAATCTCATCATCTGAATCATCGGACGAGTCGAAAGGATCCATATTTTTTTTTGTAGATAATTGAAAGTATGTAGAGAGGAGAAAAGAAAGTGTGAATTTTTTTATAAAATGGTAGTTATTTATAGGGTAAATTGTTTTTTTTTAATAGTTATTTTTTTCTAAACCGTTGCAGTTAAAATGTTTGCAAACGGTCAAATTTCCTTCGTTTCATTCAGTCGTGACGCCAACGAGATCTAATCTCGACGAGTTGCAACGAGCGGGGGGGGGGGGGGGGGGTCCGCGTTAAGACGTCGTCGCCATGTGCCACGTCACTAACGTTATATCTCGTTTGACCCATACCGATTGCTCTTAGAGGAGGTTGTTTTCTTGAGTGAGGTTTCTGGGTTGACGTTTTATTTGGAAGAGATCATCCGATCGGAGGTCATCTATGGAAACCATTATAGTTGCTCACACCTTATCTCCCATTATATTATGGGACTAGGTTATGGGGTAAAAAACTATGCAACTGTTATTTTTGATGTTAAAAATAATTCTTTTAAACATACATTCATAGATCTTTAAGATCATGACATCACTACATATCACCCACCCGTTGGATTTATAATATATTATTTTCTCATGTTTCGTTATTTTGTATGAGACAACTTTTAAAGTAGTCTGCCTCATAATAAAACTCCACTATTCAAGCCTATAAGAGATGAAACATTGTTAGATCCACACATACATGTTTCCTTCCTAAGCATCCAAAAACCAAAACATCTTGAGATTGTTTTTTTTGCCTAAAAAGTTCTTTTTAACAAAATGACTTTTTGACTTATAGTTTTTTCCAAAATGAGGGTTTAAAATATGTTTGGATTAACTTTTAAGGAAGCAAATGCCAAAAAACTAAGTCACCAAAAGTCACAAATTCCTATTTTTAAAACCACCTCTTTTTCTTTTTGCCAAAAAGTCATTTTAAAAGGACTTTTAGATTTGCCAAACACTTTTTCAAACTTCTATTTTTTTGAAAAAACCAAAAGTCCTAAAAATCATTTTGAAAAGAAATCTCAAACACCCTCTAAAAGTAGATTTACCTTCAAAAGGATCATCCAAGAAGTTCTGAGGATCATAGGTATCTTTTTTATGACAGAAACCCCATGACACACCTAAATAAGTTAAAAAAAAATAAATTTCTTAACCATATCATGTTGATGCTTGAATACTATAGTTGTCTACAAAATAACACATTCTCCCAAAAAAAGTTCAATCATGTGTTACGACAAACTAAACATATCTCATCAACCAAAAATAATGAAATATTGATGTGATATCTAATAAAAATACGATATTCATTGATGACATATGTTGGTCAAGACCATATGTATAAGCACGAAAAAAAAATCTTAAACATGTAATGCTCTTAGACACTCTAAAACATAGCTTATAGCTTGTAAGCCAGACTGGACTCCTCATGTATCTTTTTCAACAACACACATTAACCAAATAATTATTACTAATATAAATGTTCTAAACAATAATATATGATATATTTATATGCAAGTAGAAAATTACAATACTCGAGGGTGATAAATAGCCTAACTTCTACCAAAACTTGGAGACACCCTCTCGTAAATACAAAAGAAAATGGACAGACACAAGGCCATTACATCCGAGTCTGGCCAATAAATACACACATCAATACATGGTACTCTAAGGAACATAAATTCCAATAGCATTCTCCACATGCATCTTCAAAATTGACATTTCTCGACTCTTTTCCTTTTTTAAGTATGTACATGCATCCACAACATACTTAAATTCCGCACCATAAAGATGACACGCCGAAGCTGCTTTGCAAGCTAAAAGCTCCACATTCCCTGTTCACATTGTAACACATCACATAACATCAGCTAGACAAAAATTACAACTAAAAAGACGTAAATACCCTCCTCATCCTCGTCATTGAAAATGTAACGCTAAAAAGCTTTGCATAGAAGGTGGTGGATACCTGAGGAAACTTCCGAAGCGAGTATGGTTTGGGTGAAATGACGTGTCAACCACCATCGACAACGTATTCTCCAATTCTTTTTTTGTGTGTTATCTTTAAACATATCAGGGGTATTCTTGGAATGTTTTCCGAAACTATCTTTGCCTTCACCCACACAACATGACATTCTGTCCTCGTCGCATTGAGAAAGCCTTATGAAGCAAGAAGCAAACTCTCTCCAGATATGGCAGTCTGCATATGTGGCATCTAAATGTAAAGCAATCATTTCTACCAGATTTTCCGTATTGTAGAACCCTGGAAAATTATATAAAAATCAGACAAACAGCCACTTATGATTTACAGCAATCTGAACAAAAATACTCTCAAGAAAATAAAAGGCTTTTTGATGACAAAAAGAGTCTTAGAAAATAAATGTTAGATGATAACAATAACATACCATCATGATGAAAGCTTATTAGCTTTGAAAGTGAGTGGCTACAAGTTGGATCCTTTTTTAATGTGTCCTCAAAGCATGTGCACAATTTGGTTGCATCATCATTGGAAAAATGCTCCTGAAGACTAGCTTTTAACCTTCATCATTAAAAAAAAAAAAAAAGAATTTAATTAACAAAAAGTTACAAGACATAATGAATCAACTTGACACTTAAAACCCTAACATTAAGTTTTCGGCTCTCACAAATAAATAATAAAAATGATCACCTAAAAGGAAGTGTGGCGTCAGAAATTTGAACAACATTTTCCACCTCTTCTATAGCTTCCTTCACTTGATCCCCAAACA